CCCCGTGTGACCCCACGTTCTGTGTTCCAAGCCCCTCCCCCCGTGTAACCCCACGTTCCTGTTCCAAGGCCCCTCCCCCCGTGTGACCCCACGTTCTGTGTTCCGAGGCCCCTCCCTCCGTGTGACCCCACATTGTGTTCCAAGCCCCGCCCCCCGTGTAACCCCACGTTCTTGTTCCGAGGCCCCTCCCCCCGTGTGACCCCACGTTGTTGTTCCGAGGCCCCTCCCCTGTGGGAACCGCGTGTCTCTGGTCTGAAGCCCACAGTCCCGGGTGTGGCCCCAGGCCGCCGCCACGGCCACCTCTGTCCTCATGGACACTCTGTCCTGCTGCCTCGGCCATACGGCCACCTCCCTCTCATGCGCCCCGCCCTCGCCCTCCGTGTTTCCTACTGACGGACATTCCTGGAGGGAAATCAAGGCCCGCTTTGACTCGGGGCTCCACCAGGGTCAGGGTTGAGGAGCCGGGCGGTGCAAGGGCCCCCAAAGCCCTCCCAGGACGGACTCTGGAGCCTCCAGGAGACGGGGCGGCCCGGCAGGTGGGGGCAGAAGGGAGCCGGAGGGCGACTGAGTCCTATGGCCCCTGGACCTGCTGAGGTCAGGGCCCACCCGGGGCCGACTTGCGGGGCTCCCCGCCTTGCTGGGCTCTTACACCCCTCCAGACGGCCAAGGCGGTGGCCCCAAGCACACGCTCTGTGGGCACTAGTAGGCTCCTCCAGCCTCACAGAGCCGTCCTCGGGAGCTGGGCGCCCTCTGGTGGCGATGCCTGGAAGCGCCTGGCAGGGAAGGGCCAGCCCGGGACGAGTGGCGCTGGGACGTTCATTGACAAGCCTGTGAGCTGAGGACTCTGCAGTGAGCCAGGGAGGCCTTCTGTTTCACAGGGGACCCCAGACAAGGGGCCAGGCCACAGTGCGTGTGACAAGGCCCACAGTGGAAAAGAACCGGGCCAAGGGGGAAAATGGGTTCCCTAGCAGGCAAGCAGTTTCCCGGGGAGAGACTGCTGGGAGCCGTGTGAAGCTCTACAGGGAACAGCATTAGGGGCAGAGGGAACAGCATGTGCAAAGGCTCGGTGCGGCGGCCTGCGTGGTTCTGGGAAGGGTGAGGGCGGGCCTATGGGGCGTCTGGCAGGGTGAGGAGGTGGGACACCGAGCTGGTCAGAAGCCGGTGGTGGGTTTAACAGGAGGGACAGGATGGGAATTGCCACCCAGAAGTCTGAGCGAGCTTGGCTAAGTGAGGTACACAGTAGGTGCTAACAGAATGCCCTCTTGTGTGGCTCCTTCTCCCACTGGGCTCAGGTGACCGCAAGCCCAGAGCTGAGCCCCTCCATCTGCCACCCCCACCTAGAGGCCCTCAGAGACAGGCTGCAGCTAAGCTCCTACTTTGACAGCCACCTCCGTGGTCTGTGATCGGAGGCCCCGCTCAGCTAACAGGCCACGGGGTTCCTAAGGGCAGCACCTGTCATTCCCCCAAACCTGATGTACTCCTCCATCCCCCCCCCAGGAGCACCAAGCCCCAGGCCTGGCCAGCAGTGGGTCCCCGAAGGACAGCCCAGCCCATGAGGTGACCAGAGGTCGTGGGGGGGCCTACGTGCGCTTTGACACGCCCCGGCCCAGAGTCAAGCGGAGCTGGCCCACGTTCAGAGGTGAGATGGTACCTTCCCAGGAAGCAGCCTGGAGGCCCTTCCCTGTGGTAACCCCCATCTGGGGCCCGAGACCCCATACCTGTGGTAACCCCACGTCTGGGACCTGAGACCCCCCCCCCCCGTGCTAACACCATGTCTGGGGTCTGAGACCTCCCACCTATGGTAACCCCACGTCTGGGGTCCAAGGCCCCTCTCCCCCTTTGGTAACCCCACGTCTGGGGTCCGAGGCCCCTCTCCCCCTTTGGTAACCCCACGTCTGGGGTCCGAGGCCCCTCTCCCCCTTTGGTAACACCACGTCCGGGGTCCAAGACCCCCCCCCCCCGTGCTAACACCATGTCTGGGGTCTGAGACCTCCCACCTATGGTAACCCCACGTCTGGGGTCTGAGGCCCCCTCCATCTGCCATATCCCACGATCCTTGCGACGTACCCCTGCAGGCTTCGGCCAGCCTGTCCACAGAAGCGGGCGGTGCTCAGGCTGGGGTGGCGGCGGGTCCCGGCCCCGCCCCGCTGTGGGCGCTGCCCTCTGAGCCCCCTTCCCCGCAGCCCTGCTACTGCACCGCTACGTGGTGGCTCGCGTCATCTGGGCCGACATGTTCTCCATCGCCGTCACCTACTTCATCACACTGTGCCTGTTCCCCGGTCTGGAGTCCGAGATCCGCCACTGTGTCCTGGGCGAGTGGCTGCCCATCCTCATCATGGCCATATTCAACCTCTCGGACTTCGTGGGCAAGGTGGGCCCCACCCCGCGCTGCCCTGAGTGGCTGAGGGAGACCGGGGCGGTGCTGGCCGTCTGGGGAAGGGGCCTGCCGTGCCTTGGAGCCCCTAAGCTGGGGGTGTGCAGGCCATTAACTAAGTTCGCCAGGGCTGGGATCTCTCTCCCCAGACCAGCCATTGCAAAGTCTGGGAGCACAGCTCTGCCCTGACGTCAGGGGTTGCTGTGAGACACAGCAGCTCGACAGCAACTGCTTTTATGACTCTTAAACGGGTGGTTCAAGGTTAGAACCCTCACCTTCCATGTGGGAGACCCAAGTTCAAGTCCCGGCTAGCACAGCTCACCCACAGCCTGTTGGTCAGTGGCGGCTTGCGTGTCGCTAGGAGCCCAAGGTCCAGCAGAGATTCTAGGCTCAGCCAGACTGGGAGAGGCCTGGCAGCTACCTGCAAGTCAGCCAGTGGTCTGATCTGCACCTGACCATGGGCTTGGTACAGGACCCGGCAGCGTTCTGCTGTTTTCTGCATGGGGTTATGGGAGTCGGGCCGACTTGAGGCAGCTACCAACAGCAGTACCGAGTGGACTGTGTAGACAGAACTGGGGGGGTGGGCCGGACAGGGCTATGGCCTGAGCTGGAGTTTGGGGGTAGGCTGGGGACGTGGGTGTGGTTGGCACCCACATGCCTGGTTCTCCACAGATCCTGGCAGCCCTGCCCATCGACTGGCGGGGCACCCACCTGCTGGCCTGCTCCTGCCTGCGCGTGGTCTTCATCCCCCTCTTCATCCTGTGCGTTTACCCGAGTGGCACGCCCGCCCTGCGCCACCCGGCGTGGCCCTGTGTCTTCTCCCTGCTCATGGGCATCAGCAATGGCTACTTCGGCAGTGTGCCTATGATCCTGGCGGCCGGGAAAGTGAGCCCCAAGCAGCGGGAGCTGGCAGGTGAGTGTCTGCTTGGTCACGCCTTCCCAGCGGCCTGACACCCCACGGCCTGGAGGGGACACCGAGACCCATTGGCGCCAAGGCTGCCAGGCAAGAAGGTGCATTTGGGTTCCAGGGGTCAGGTCAGCCGCAGGGAGGGCGTAGATGTGGGGACAGTCTTCAGTCTCTTAGTCAGTGCACACCTAGCTGTCACTGCACCAGGCCCGGTTCCAGGCTCCAGGGACACAGTGGAGACAACCATTCCCCACGGTGGTGGGGCTGACATTTCAGAGGTGGAGACAGACAATGGACAAGACACTCCACAAAAAGAGTGAGGTGGTGGGTGGTGGGAACTGTGGGGAGAGCTGAGGCAGGGAAATGGGGGCAGGCAGTGGGGTGCAATTTGCAATGTAAAGGTCTGGGTGGGCCTACCTGAGGAGGTGTCTTTGGAGCAAAGGTCTGGAGGAAGTGAGGGGGACAGCCATATGGAGATGAACTGAAGAGCTGTTCCAGGCAGAAGGAACAGCATGTGCAAAGACCCTGAGAAAGGAGGCGTGCATGCCCCGAGTACGGGCGGGAGCTACTGTGATGGCCCAGAAGAGGGTGTGTTTATAAAGGGTCTCTCTGACTGCTGCACCTAGACACAGGAGTTAGTGAGCCGAGGCAAGGAGGCCAGGATGACCTACTGCAGCCGTTGGAGCCAGCGAGGTCAGGGGGCTCGGTCCAGGGAGGACCTGTTGGTGGGAGAACGGCTAGATGATGGGGCCGGATTCTCGATTATTTTGACGAGGCTTCTGGATCCATTTTGACATTGGGATTGGGAGATGGGATGGGGGTGGGGAGTCGGGGAGGACGCCAAAGTTTGGGGCATGTTGCTCAGGGCAGAAAGTGTGTCATACCCCTGCGATGGGGACGTGGGCCTCGACAGGGTCACCAGCAGCCGGGTTAGGGTCAGACGCAGCACACTGGAGGTGCCCAGCAGATGGACCACACTGCCCGTGACAACGAGGCAGCTGGAGGTCGGAGTCTGGAGATAAAATGGGAGCGGCCAGAGGTGTGGGTGCTGCCGGGGGCGTGGCTACCGGGGGCGTGGCTGATAGGGGGCGTGGACACGACCAAGGGGCGGGGCTTCTAGGGGTGGGACGGCCAGGGAGCGCGACTT